GGGTGCGAGAGGGGGCGGGAGACAGACAGACAGACAGACAGACAGAGTGACAGAGACAGAGAGCCGAGAGAGAGAGAGAGGGAATGCTTATCCGGGAAGGCATCACAGCAAACACGCTGGACTGGCCCAACCTGGTTCTTTAGATTGCAACAATGCAAAATGAATTACAGCCAAACGTACCGAACGGCAAATGCATATTTCTCTTACGTCATAGTAAAATTTGGAGGTGAAGAAGCTGGCGATGAGAGAGAGAGAGAGAGAAAATTTATCCAGAAAACGCATCACACAGCAAACACCCTAAATAGACTAACCCCACCCGGTCTTCTTCTGTGCGACTAAACCACATGGTCGGGTTGCGAAAATGACAAACAAACTTGAAAGCGAAAAAGTCCCGAACGGCGCATCTATTGTTGCGTCATAATACTATGGGTAGGTGACGCTTTGCGAAAAAGAGCAAAGAATAGCAGGTACTGCGAACAAAAGAGCGCGTGTCATCCGGCTACAATCCATAGTGTATCACGAGGCGTTGTGGCAGCGTGAGTGCCAATTACACGAGAAACATCCAAGCAGTTGCAACTAGAGCAGTTGCAACTAGGCAAGGCTCACAGGAGGCTCCTTGCAGCGCGATACAGTAGCAACTCCCTCTTTTCCTCGCGCCCGCGCGCTGGACCTAACCGTTAAGCCTCACGTCACCCCAGAGACTCACATGTGCCTCTCCTCCCTCAAGATGAGGGTCTCGTATCTTCTCGTTGCTGGTATCTCCGCCTGCACGGTAACATTGATGGACAGCTCGCTCGACCTGGGTACGGATCGACGATCGAGAGTGTCAGCCATCGGCGGGGGACAGGGGTGGATACATAGCTTGCTCGAGTGAGCGTACACAGATATAGTATGTAGGGGAACAGGGGTAGAATAACGTGCTTGAGGGCGTACATACACATGGAGCCTGTCGGCACGAAAGCCATCAGCGGGGAGCGACACCCACGGGCTAGCTAGAACCGAGTGGCTTGCAGGTATATTGCCGCATCACGGCTCCTCCACCCCCGACTTTCAGCGCTCGCTGGGTCTCTACAAAGCTATGTAGGGCTGTAGAGCACTTGAGAGAAAGAAAATAAAAAAATAAAAACGCGGACAATCTCGTCGCTTTAGTCTCCCATGCTAACCCCCCCCCCCCCCCCCCCCCCCCCCCCCCCCCCCCCCCCCCCC